TACCTAATAGTCACATACTAAGCTGATTTCCAATAAATGGTTGCTTAAAATCCAGTTGAATATGCATTGAAGATATGTAAGCCCTTAAAAGATAGCATAGCTTTCACAACATAGTTCTTTCGCACACACAATTGAACACAATTTTTTTGTAACAGTAATTCTCTACAAAAACTGATATATGTATACAAATGTATGTTTGTATTTGTGCTCATTGAAAAAAGCATATTTAAATATCCATATGTATATTAATCGCAGGCCCGTTTTTTAAAGAAATTTGTGGGCCATTGAAACTTGTGCTTGCACTTATATGGTCTGACTTACTGTTATAAGCATACGTGATATTTTGGTAATAATTGATTAAGAAGAAGAAGAAGTGAAAATGACTTTCGAAGAAATTAATGAATTTTTATTCTTTTTGGTATGTTTGAATATGACGATTAATAAAAAATAATAGATTTATTTTTATCGTTAACTTTGCCCACAATTTCTATGCATTTTATTTATTTAAAGCTATCGCCATATTTATCGTTTCTCATAATTCCGCAATTTTCTATAAATGGCACAACAACCAACTCCTCTCTCTCTCTCTCTCTCTCTCTGTCTTCTAAACTAAGTTTTAATCATAAAATGTTTACTTAATTGATATATCATCTAAGAGATCTTTCGATTTTGGCTGATGCTAATGACGTGCTTGCTTGCGTACAATATTTTAGCATAGGATAAGATGATCAATTGATTTGATATATTGATCGCATATTGTTTCGTTGTAAATGTAAACTGAAGATCAGTTGACGTACGCACGCGAGTTCAATTTATTTATGAATGATTTTTCAATAATTATGCATAAACCATTGGTCTAATATACCGGATACACAAACTTGGAACCAAGATTGTTATCAAGAAAAATTTGTTTAAACAAAGCCGGCGGTTGTCCGGCGCGATAAAAGACTCAAAATTCATTTTTTATACATATCTAAAAAATATGCATTTAATTGATTCTTCGACACATTTTACATCTTAAAGTGAAGGCAAACATTTAGAAAATTCGATGTGCTTTTCAGTTTGAGGAGAAAGAATCAAACTATTCTAGGCTTTGAATATGTATGTGCTACTGTAACGCTTTACTCAAACAAATTCGTACGATGGCACCCGGATTATTTGTTTATTCATAGTATCAAAATATTCTATATCTTCAAGATGAACTATTTTACTACGTCACTCAATAAATTCGTAGAATGACGTATGGATTATTTATTTATTTAAATATATATATGTATATATATAGAATTCAACTATAATGTAGATTCAAAAGCAAATAGAGCTTAAAAGTGAGAAAGTTTTAAAGTATTATTTGGAGTCATGAGTAAGTTCCGATGCTGTTGGGTAGAATCTTTTGCTCGCATTTATCCATTATAAGTCGCCGAAACAAAGAAGTTTTTGTTTTCACTATATATACATGGGAATCAAGTTAGTCTTCTTTCAAAGGTTTCATATGATGCATCTTACATTCAAATGTTTTTCTTAACCTCTAAAAGGGAGAGTTAAAAAGTGCGTATTCGAAATGTAATGCTTTGGGAATTCAAAGAAGCCAAAAGCGCTAAACGACAGCTATTAGAAATTGGTTTGTAAAATTCCGGAAGGTGTGTCAGACTTTAACGAAAAACTTTTAAAAGCAATATTAGAGCAAAATTCATGCCAGTCAACAAGAGATATTGCAAGAAGGTTGAATAATTCATAATCAACCGTTAAATTAATATCAATTTTTTATTAAATTAAAACCATGCAAATGAAAAATAAAAAAAAGCAAGTTACTTATGAATTGACCTAATAGAAAGAATATACGTCTCTCACTTGGAACGTCTAGAAGTATGCAAACGAAAATTCATTTTTAAGCGGCACAATATTTCAACAGATAAATAGTAAGCTATATATATGAGTATATATATATATATTTGTCCCTGCGTCTTATTGTCAATGACGTCCCCATTTCGGGTAAGCTTTGCATTGAGAATCTTCAAAGTGCCTAAAGTCAATAAGTTAATAATATCACAGCGTTCCAGTACTAATAGCCTCATTGACACTTTCCGTTCTAATAATTTTCAACAATTTCCTTATATATATATTGCATATAACGTATGTTACGAGTGTCCAAATATTTAGAATCTGATAAGAAATCGTTTCTCAATTGAATTTGTAATTATTATATACGTGCTGTGCTGTATGCAGTTTTTTATGCATTTCATTATTGATATTATTCTTATTATTAATTTTTTTTTAATTCATTTTATTTCTTGCATTAATTTCACATTTAAAGTGCGTACGTTGACTTTTGTCTTGCGATATGTTGAACTCACTTGTTTTGTTACATTATCAAGATGGATTGCTTAAGTTGTTATTTATGCGATTCTGTCTCAATATAAGTTTGTTGCTGAAATCTTTTGTTATGTGTTCGTGTATATATGTAAGAAAGAAAAATTCAATTATGTTAGTAATAATTAACATAAAATAACATTAAATCTTGATGCCATTCATTTATTTATTCTTTACACAATATATACATATATATATATATACATGTAGATTTGTAACAATAGTTGATATTTGATCATCTTATGGATATGTGTGGAGGAGAACATCTTTTCAAACGCAAGTATCGTATGCAGTACTCGTACTGGCACTTTTCACATACCGACACCATATATAGAAAAAAGAAACATGCTAGAGTTAGCGACACACACACATCATTGGCTTTTATTGAAAAAAAAAAAAAAAGACAAGCCTAAGAAATTTTCAAGTTTTTAAAGTTAATTTTTTTTGTTTTTATTTTTGTTTGCTCTTTAATATTCATCATCGTTATTGATGAACGGACGGATTGGATGAGTAAATCAATTGAATCTGTTTAATGAAATTGCCATGCTAGACATAACATGGGCGTTATTTGTCATAACAATTGCAATCACTCCTCCTTGACACATTACTCTAGTATTCTTGAATAAGCTGGAAAATCGTGTCATCTTTTAAACAAATTACCGCACACATCGGCACCGAAGGCTTATTTCTAAAGAAGACAAACTTTGTGTGCATAGAATGCTTGATGAGCTCTCATAGCGCTTAGCAAAACGCTTTTTCAATTGCATTCAATAAATGATTACTTATTATGGTGTTGTCGTTTGCCGATATCTATGGCTTTTTATTATTCACCTTTTTTTTCTCTTTATTTATTGTCTAAACGGTTGCTCCTTAATAATTCTTGACAATTTCTTGAATAACGTTATATGACGAGTCAAAACAGTTTGAGTTTGTTTCGCATTACAACAAACTTCCGAGGCACGTTTTTCCGTTATGAGTTAAACGATTAAATTTAAAATCCAATTTTTTTTTTTTTTAATTTTCCAATTTTAAGCTAAAAGTGCTGCAAAGCATCAGCACTCATGGCTAACACGACCGTCACGATAGGCATCCGAGTTGACTTTTTTTTTTGTCCTTTCTTCTCAAATAATATAAATAAAATAATAAAATTTCAAAAAATGCGCGCACTAACCACTTTTAAATTATTTGCTTGATTCACGACAAATGACTTGGCTGGGTTTTAATCATCAAATCTTATTCGAATTTCAAACATAACCATCATGTTTGAAAGTTTGAAAGGCTACCTTCGAACCGTCGAACATGTTGTGTATTTTATATTTATAAATACACAGCAAAGTAAATTTTACTCTCAGAAATTGATTTTTGTTATTGTCAGTATTTTTTGAGAGAATCCATAAGAAGCAAAGTAAATTTTACTCTCACAAATTGATTTTGTTATTCTCAGTATTTTTTCAGGGAATCCATAAGAAATGCACAGCAAAGTAAATTTTACTCTCAGAAATTGATTTTTGTTATTCTCAGCATTTTTTTAGCGAATCCGTAAGAAGTGCACAGCAAAGTAAATTTTACTCTCAGAAATTTGGTTTTATATTCTCAGTATTTTTTTAGGGAATCCAGAAGAAGTGCACAGCAAAGTAAATTTTAATCTAGAAATTGATTTTTATTATTCTCAGCATTCAATCGGTTTGGTTTCGAACTATTGCCAAAAACTTTTATTATTACTGTTGAGTGTTCAATTGGTTTCATGGTCGTATATTATATCAAACTTGCTGAAGTTGCTCGAAGTTTCAATAAAATTCGCTGAGTTTATTTAGGTTTGGAGTTCGTAACGTTTTATCGTTTTACTTTCAAGTTCAATAAAATTTCAATAAATTTCTTAATATTTTTTTTAACCACAAAAAAAAATCTAGACTATTTTCTTTTCATTGAAAGTGAAATTGAAATGATCGCGTACCAGGTGTTTAAATTGAGTAAAGTTTTAAATTGAAAACATTTCGTTTTGGGACAAATTTTTAATGTGCATCATGTCATGTTTTTCTTTTTTTTTTTATATTAAATTTTATAATAATAATTTCGTAAGAAAATTACTAAAAGCTGGTGTTAGAAAAATACCGGGAACAGGCAGTAATTGATTTGAATTGATGTTTTGAAGCAAACGTTCAAGGTTCATGCGACCAAAAAAAACCAATACTTTTATCAACGCACTCTTTACATATAGTTTTTGAAATATATATATATATATATGTATATATTTTATGTACAAGGCCTAAAAAAAAAAAAAAATTTTTATATTCTTTCAGTTTATTCTTAGTTTTTCAGCACACTAGGCAAACCATTTTTAAATCGTTCAAAAATCAAATTTGATCTTCGATCGATAACTAGGGGCAGATTTAGCACAATACCACAGAAAACAAAGGTGAATGGACGGATTGGGGAAGATTTCTCTTCAATAGCACAGCAACGAAAGGTGAATGGACGGATAGACATACGAACTTATCCAAATAAATTTGAAATTCTCTCTCTGATCTCTGCTTCAGTGCGTTAGAATGGATACAAGAAATCCTGTCTAGTCTCCCCCTCTGGCAATAGAAGGTCTTGTGTGGATTTTTTTTTTTTTTTTAATTTATTACTCAGTTTTTATCGTCAGCCAGAGTTAATAGCATAGTAATAAAAGATCCAGCGGTTTTTAAAACCTATAAAAATAATTAAGATAATTGAATAATAGTTTAATATGGGCTTCTACTCACCCATAAAAATAAGGGCAAATCGGCTGTAAAAAATACGCCAGTTAAGTTGCATGCTTTTTGAGATCGTATCATAAAAATTAATAAAGACTTTCGTAAAGTTGTTTCCACATTCTGCCATTGGAAACTTTCATAAACGGAATTACTTACGGCCAAGCTCTGCATCAAAGCGAAGAATTTTTGTTATGAGAAATTGATTATAGTTCGCAGTTGGTCATAATTACCTCGTCTTTTATCTTTTGTCCACCGTAACAATAAAGGAAGAATTGCAAAGAGACCGATATTAGAAAGGAGAAATGAAAAATTTGATCGGCCTTTTCTTTTCCCCGAGCTAATTGGAAAGCTAAACAAGCTATCTGCAAACAACTAATTGCAAATTTTATGAAAACATTAATGCGAAATATTTTATTGAATTCCTCAGCCAATTCTACGGTTTGCCTATGAAGATTAATGCATGCATTTACTGTCGTTTTGGTGATATTACCGCCGTTTTCTTGGCCAGCACATGTCAGACGTAAACGTAAGATACGGAAATGTGCCGCTATATTACAATTGAACCAAAAGAAGATACCATCGAATGACAGATTACCAAACATTATGAAGTGAACAAACAATGAATTCCATAGGTACAACATGATCAAACCAGATGGAGTTTGAAAGTCGAAAGGATAACTAAAAATTATGCAAAAAAAAAAAAAAAATTTCAGTTTTCCTTCAGTTCCCTTTTAACAGGAAATAATACTTACATGGCTTTTATGGGTGGTTCCAAGGCTTTTAAAAATTTCTCACCTTTCAGCGCATAAAACGTGGCTATCATCAAAGGTGCCGTTAAAGCCAAAGCTCCTGTAGTCATAACGTTAATACAAAACGTCAGACTAAACAAGTAATCTCGATGATTCTCCTTAGCAAGTATAGCTAATTCCTCCGGATTATTGTTTACTGCGCAATAAATAAACAATGATATGACGAATCTTGTCTGAGAATAAGGTAAAGGGTAAAAAGAATTAAATAATAAAAGTAAGAATGCTAGAGCTGATAAGACCTGCGGTAATCCCACATTTTTGTAGATTCGATCAAAAATCCACATAAAGCGAAAGCAAAAGGATTTTTGAGAAATTTACGATAAAAGGAATAGAAAGAAAACGGTCGTAATGTGTTGAACTAGTGATAATTCAAATTCATATTTAATTCGATTCATTTGTCAGCTTACATGCCGGACATATCGCATCTTGCTAATGGCAACAATGAAGTTAACCGACGCTACAGACAACTTAAGCTGATGATCAAGGAACTCTAAAAGATCCCTTCATTAAAATTGCATATCTAAGACCCCGAATACATTCGCAAAGAGGTATTTGAAGCAATAAATCGTCTCAGAGTGACCGTAGCGCTTAAAGCTGACCTAATTTCGCAAATATATTTTCGTTCTTAAAAGTTCAAAGTTATTCAACACTGAATTTTAGTTTTCTAATCTATGTAACACATTATAGGATAAATTAAAAGAAATGCATAGTCTTTCTTCTAATTTATCAGAACTGCTTAGTATGTAGCAAAGCTTTTCCAGTTTGCTTTTAGAATAATCATCAATAATATATACAATTCAAAGGGAAGGATTCTGAATATATCTGTCGCTCCGTCTAGCGCTCTTTTGCTGTTAAAATTCTCGCAATCGCTAAATGATGGGTAAATTCTTCGAGAGTAATCATTAATAACCGCAGGCGGAATATATATTATTCTGACTATGTGTGTCGACCCGTCCGCTGTTCTTTTGCTCTTAAAATTCTTACAATCGCTAAGATATGGGTAAGCGAGAAGACTAAGCTTGTACTGTTATTTTATGATCATAGATAAAAGTTGATTCGATGATGGCCACACCCACTATTGACCAAAAATGATGTAACTTATAATTCTCACTCGTTACAAATACGTGTTAGTGCTCGGACGGTTAAAGGGAAAAATGGAATGAAAATCCAAAACTGAAACACATCTGTTTTGATAACTAATAGCCACAGATCACCATTTGACAGCAGCCATTTCCACCTGCAAATAAGATGGCAGCGTATTCAAGATTTATCGTTTTTTTTTTACCTTCTAAATTTTTTATCCATATTTTCCTTAACAATTGGATAATTTTTTGCCGGTTCCATATGAAATAGAAGAATTTTGATAAAGCCAATACGCCTTCCCACAAAGGCGATAAAGCGTCGGTCACTTTGAGTATATCGGATTTATAGAGGCTGGCGTAACCTATCATAGGAATTACGAGAGTCAAGAGACCCAACATCGGTACTAGAGCTAAAATTTTATTGAATATTGGTCTCTGCAGAGATTTTGGATCCAAACCGATCGCTGCAAAAGTATATTGTTGTACGGTAAAATGTCTGCTTAGGCCATTCGGCGAAGGCAAAGCATCACCAGCCCTTGGTAGCCATTGTTTAAAAAACATTATTCGTCCGAATATTTACTTTGTTTTATTTTTTTTTCAAATTTCGCAGTTTCTCTACAATCCTTTCTCTCAGTTACTTGCATTATATACTTAAGCACGTTATGAATAATTTATTTTCATATGATTGATTAATTTATTAGCAATGTCTTACATGTTAAATAAGTACTTTTCAAAATAACGCTTCTAATATATGCACTTTTATGCAATTATTAAAGTTTGTTATAATTCGTCCAATCTAATGTAATCGTTACTTTCTTTTTGTATTGTGTGTATGTGGGAGATTTTTTTTTTGTTATTAATATTTAACATATTAAAGGTACTACTACTCTATAGTACGAAAGGTATGCAAATGGATATAAAGAATACAACATTAGATGTTAGATAGTCGTAGGATTATCATACTATTCTGCTTTGAATCTTCGCATAGAAAGTGGACCCGGTTAGAGAGAGAGGATAAATGGATATATAGAATAGGCTTGATATACTATTGTCCTTTGACATGTTCGCATAGAAACTGGACCGTATTAGAGAGAGAGAGAGAGAGAGAGAAGAGAGAGAGAGAGAGAGAGAGAGAGAGAGTAAACGGATATACCATTCTGCACTGAAATCTGGACTGGATTAGAGAGAGAGAGAGAGAGAAAATGGATATATAGAATATAACATTAGACATGTTACACAATACTAGGCTTCATATACTATTTTGTTTTGAAATCTTTAAATAGAAACTGGACCGGATTAGAGAGAGAAGGTAATTGGATGTATGGAGTACAACATTAGATGTTAGATAGTCTTAGGATAGGACATACTATTCTCCTTTGAATCTTCGCATAGAAATTGGACCCGGTTAGAGAGAGAGAGAGGGAGAGAGAGAGTATATTTATATACTATTCGGCTTTGAAGTCTTCACATAGACACTGAGCCGAGTTAGAGAGAGAAGGTAAATGGATATATAGAATACAATAGTACACAGTCCTAGGCTTGATATACTATTCTGCTTTGAAATCTTTCCATAATTTATAGTTGCTTTTCCTAGTAACTATTAACTCATAAAGTTTATTTGAATTTCAAAGTGAAAAGATATTATTTTCGCTGTACGTCGCTGTGCAACCCATTGCACAATCTGCGAAGCCAAAGTTCTCATTAACCCCTTTAGTATTATTATTATTAATTATGCCGGCAAACCATACCGCTATCTTGAAAATCTATTGTGCCATCTTCCTTGGATCGGAGCATCATACCTTGTAAAATACTCGCAAAACACATGGTGTCTGAACATGACGGGACATCCCCCTCGACCCTTGCCAGAGTCTGCATGCATTGATACCGGACATACCCATGTTTCCCGATGAGGAATTTATAGCCGTGTAGAAGCTCGTGACTAAACGTAGGTCGTTTTTTCTAGTTCGAGTAGTTTATGTGCCATATAAGAAGATTTTATAAATCTTTTTGTCTACCCGTTGTACTGGACATTGCTTCCAGTAGACCTAACATGGTTTCCCGAGCTCCCCTGTTGGCTAGACATACAGCCCTTTCGTCGCCTTCAATACCCGAATGACCAGGCACCCATATTAGGTGCACGTCGTTGCTCGCGCCTAGCTCATTCAGTGTTTGGAGACACTCCAGCAAAAGCCTAGATGTTATCGTACACCCCTTTAGCGACCTTAAGGCAGACTGTCGGAGTAAATGCAAATCCGTCCTCTTTTGTACTGTCTTTTTAAGCATTCCGAGGCATTTGCTTGGAATATGTAGAGACTATAATCCAACGATATGGCCTCCTGAAATCTCAGGCCACAAACCCCCAGCCCCAGTTTTATTATTTTCCAATTTTGAACTTTCTGTATCAATTCCTTGTTTCCACCCCGGGTACAAAACTCCTTCAGTAACTTTCAGGATTAACTTGAACTCTAAAGCAGTACTTTTTCTTTATGCTAGTGCGCAATAAAACTATAAGCTTCTTAATCCTCTTATACATAAGCAAGGTATGAAGCTGGAAGAAAATTATCTTAACTCATATAATTTTTGCTACTAATTACTTAAATTGAATAAAGAATTTTGTCAAGCTAATGCCTTTTTTTCTCGTCCCTCTAACAAATGTAGCGGTAAGCCTAAGCATTTTGTTCTACGAAACTGCATTCTACAAGCAGTGAAATTCTTAACCTACATGAGTAGAGAGAGAGAGAGAGCGAGTAGAGGGAGAAAATCATGTAAAATTGAAAAGCTTTCGTCAAAATTTAGATCTGCTTGCATTACACTACACTGATTAGCTTCGTGAGCGTAGCAGAAAATTTTCGATACAATGATTGCTCGTTGATTTTATCATTCGAGTAAAGTGTATATTTCTTAATCAAAGGGCAAGCAACTGCAAATGAAAATTCCTAAGAGTAAGGCAAGAAAAAAAATGGTAGCCAATTGTCTTTATCACGTGCAATATATAACAAATAATTAACTAATGCCAGTAGACGTTTAATTAGTTACTTTGTTGAAACTTAATATAAACAACTTGTGCTGCCCATTTGGCCGCCAGTTAAAATGTTAAATGCTAACCATATTTGGTGTATCATTTAGTTTAATATTTTGTTTCGCTAAGAAACGAAACGAACCATTAGCTTGTAACAAAAATATACTAAAAATATCAAGTATAACATAAGCGAAGGCCTTTCAAGAGTAGAGAACAAGAAAAATTGAGGAAAACAAAAAAAAATGTTTAAAACCAACTTTATGTTGTGGTTATAGGCAAGTGTTTTAGAATTAATTGCTTTTTTACATTTTTTTTTTTTTTTTTTTATATTGCATGAGCAAAAAAATATTTTTTTGTAAAACTTACAGAAGCCAATTTAGCGAAAACTTTACGTTTTAACCGCACTCTTTTATTATTAATATCAATCGATTATAGTTTTTTTGATTTTTTTCTTTTTTTTTTTTTACTACACACAAATTTCATAATCTATACTTTTATTTCATTTTTCAAGACAAGATTGATAGAGTTTTTGATATAAAGCGAATGTTGTTTTGTATCGTTAAGGCAAATATGTCACATTAACTATGGTTATGATAGGCCGTCTAAGAAACAAAGAGGGAGAGCGAGAGAGAGAGAGAGAGAAAGATAGATAGATAACTTATGTCCAAAGACAATGTGACAAAAGAAGAATTTTAAACTTTTACTAAAATCAATCAATAAAACCTTGTAATGTGGTTAATTATATAAATAAATGAACGGACAATTCAAGTCATTTATGTTTGTGTGTGTGAGTGCGTGTGTGTGTGTGCGTTCTTTTTTTCTACCATTAGTTACGAAACAAATGTATTGTTTATAATTAACAAAACATATATCGTGTGAGTAGAGAAAAAGTCATGCCTTATAGGCCTTTTTTTTGTGTTTTTTTTTTTGTTTTTAATGTTAACAACACTGGTTGGTGTTGAATGATTATATGTTTGATGAAATATAAAAATTTATCACATAATTAATTTGATTTTTTCTTCTTTTAGCCAAGCAACAGCAATACTAATTATCATGCTTACGGTTATGTATAAGATGTTAAGTTAAGAAATATAAACAGTTTTAAAAACAGTTTTCCATTACGAAAGCTAAAAAATATTGCGCCTTTATGCTATACACGCACTCTTCATTTCAAGGTCAGTGTTATCACCAAGGCAGATAGGGATCTACTAACTTTTTGGAGTTTACATGTGATATTTCTCAGGCCTTCGATGAGGGCTAGCTCAGGGTGGATGTGATATCCACGAATTTCTCACAAGCTTCGTCGACTGGGCTTCCCGGAAAATTGATTGCCGTGGTTTTCCAATTACCTTACCGGTCACACGCAAAGGATGTTATATAAGTCCACTTTTGCGCGGAAAAACAAGGCTTCATCGGGAGTCCCTCAGCGAAGTCACTGGGGTCCGTTGTGTTTAGTTTATCCATTAACGACCTTCCTTCATGTTTCCGCTTTTCTAAAGTTCATATGTTTGCGGACGATGTGCGATTGCATACTCAGTGTTAACTCAGTGCTCTAATTGGCACTGATGGGCTGACTGGTGTTGTGTCAACAACATGTCATGTAATTTAAGCAAATGCAAGAAAATATACTTTTATTGAGTCTCTCCACTGCCTTCTGTGCTGAAGAATGTAACTTATTTTAAAGATTTGGTTGTGAAGCTCAGCCTTCACTTTGAGATTTCCGTTAATAAGGCTAACTCGGTTTTGAGCTTTATTAGGAGATGGGCTAAAGAATTTAAGGACCCGCATATTTGCAAACGTCTATATACTGTGCTTGTTCGTCCAATTTTGGAATATTCTGTCATTGTGTGGGCACCTTGTTATCAATATCCCATTGATCGGATTGAGTCTGTTCAAGGAAATTTTCTTCTCTTCGCCGCTAGAATTCTTCCGTCGTCTGAAAGCAGAATTAATCTGACACGGTTACCAACACTGGTTAGGAGACGGCAAGTGATTGGAGTGATTTTTTTGGTTAAATTGATTCGGGGCGGGGTTTCCTCTTCTTAGCTACTAAATATTGTCGACGTTAATGTTCCGGCTCAATTATTATGACACTATCTTCCTTTGAAACTCGCTTTGCTCAGTTTACTGATTCTATTGCTACAATTAAAAACATAGTTAAAAATTGAAAATGTAATATATAATGAATACATTTAAAAAATTGTTTTGTTACGCTGCGTAACGGAAATAATTAATGAGCACAAGGCAGTTGCATAGTTCTTTTATTGGCATCATTATTATTATCAATAATAGTATTAGCTTAGATCTAAGTTTTGGCTTATTTGTAGTTCTTCTGGCTCCCGGTTCGAATTTGAAACAAATAAGTGAACACACCTCTATACACAATAACATCAGGATACCACAACCGCTAAGCTTAATATTTTTTAGACTGATAATAGTAAGAAATCCTAGTTTTTTGCTTAAGTCTTTTGATTTTTATGAGAAACATTTGATGTGTGAAAGATTAGAATTTTCAAGGCTTATCTGATTGTTGTAAGACAGTTCGAGGATCCTGGGATAACCAAAAGCTTACAGATCGAGACTGAAGGTAGTAAAATGAATTTATCTCACTTTTTCTCCATGGATTGTATGTTGTATGATAGCATTATTAAGGAAAGCGCAGTTTGAGTTTAACTCCAATATTTTAATGGTACAGAAAACAATTGAATGGCGACTATGCCTGTAAAACCAATGAATTATTCGATTGCGTGATAAGCTTATAAAGTTTCTTAAGCCGTTTGGTTGAAACTTTCTGATGTATGCAATCTTTGAATCAGGTCGATGTTGTTATCATAAGGTAAGTAAAAAATTGCTTTACTATCCATACAAACGGACAGATTAGAAACGGATAAGATAAAAACGGTTTATTAGTATGAACATAAAATAAAACAAACTAAAGTAAAGTATTGCAAGCAAATGTAGAAAAATATATAATATAAACAATTTATTTCAAATGAAACTAAAGTAAGAGGGTTAATGATTTTTAAATCGGTATTGGCGCGAAAGGCAAAGCAATAAATAGTTTTTATGACTTAACGAATGGTTTTATTTAGTATTTCAAACAATCTTGCGGACAATCTTCTAATAGATGTAAACAAGTGAAGAAACATTTTACTCAAAACCAAAAAAAAAAACACAAAATAAACACAATTTTCATCCGATTTGAAACATGTAGAAAAATAGCTGTTACTGATGTATTCCAATCTGAGTGAGTGATATGACTTAAAACGGATTTTATCAAAAGGTTTCGCAGGCAATCAGTTCAGTCAGTCATCTGCTTGAAGTAAAACCATTCGGCATTAATTTGGTGTTACTAACTAAAATTCCACTTTTATTCTATAGAATATACTTAATCGGTCTTCAATATAATAAAGAAAGAAAAAAAAAAAAGAAAACAAAAATGTCCAAACCTTCATATAAAGTTGCTGATATCGAATTGGCTGGCTGGGGACGGAAGGCTATTGTTATTGCGGAAAATGAGATGCCTGGCTTAATGGCTTGCCGTCAGAAATATGGTCCTTTAAAGATTTTGAAAGGAGCCAGGATCGCTGGTTGCTTGCATATGACTGTACAGACTGCTGTGCTTATCGAGACACTGGTGGAGTTAGGCGCTCAAGTTCAGTGGTCCAGTTGTAATATATTTAGCACTCAAGATCATGCCGCAGCTGCAATTGCTGTTGCCGGAATTCCTGTCTACGCGTGGAAAGGTGAAACGGACGAAGAATATGACTGGTGCATTGAACAGACCCTAGTTTTTCGAGATGGTAAACCATTAAATATGATATTGGATGACGGCGGCGATTTGACCAATTTGGTTCATGGAAAGTTTCCGCAATACCTGTCTGGAATCAAGGGCATATCCGAAGAGACGACAACAGGGGTTCACAATCTGTATAGAATGTTCAAAGAAGGCAAGTTAGCTGTACCAGCTATTAATGTCAATGATTCCGTAACTAAGAGCAAATTCGATAATTTATATGGTTGCCGGGAGTCATTAATCGATGGCATTAAGCGCGCTACAGATGTTATGATTGCCGGCAAGGTATGTGTCGTAGCCGGCTATGGTGACGTCGGCAAAGGTTGCGCTCAAGCCCTGAAAAGTTTTGGCGGACATGTCGTTGTAACAGAAATTGATCCAATCAATGCTTTACAGGCGGCCATGGAAGGCTATGAAGTGATCACTATGGAAGAAGCCAGTAAACAAGGCACTATTTTCGTTACCACCACTGGCTGTATCGATATTATTACCGGCGACCATTTCAAAAACATGAAAAATGATGCCATTGTCTGCAATATCGGCCATTTCGACTGCGAAGTCGACGTAAATTGGTTAAACGTTAACGCCATCGAAAAGGTGAATATTAAGCCGCAAGTTGATCGTTACACCCTAGCCAATGCACGTCACATAATTGTATTGGCTGAAGGTCGCCTAGTCAATTTAGGTTGCGCTCATGGTCATCCCAGCTTTGTTATGTCGAATTCGTTCACCAATCAAGTGATGGCGCAAATCGAACTTTTCACCAAATCGAGTCAATACGCAATCGGTGTTCATATGTTACCGAAGATATTGGATGAAGAAGTTGCTCACTTGCATTTGGAGAAATTAAATGTAAAGCTTACCAAGTTGACTGAAAAACAATCAAAATATTTGGGTATACCACGAAATGGACCCTTTAAACCAGACCACTACAGATACTAAATGCATTAATGAGTTTTTCTCTTCCTTGAACATTTTGCCTAATTACTCTTTCTAATAAAGGATCGGGGACATCTACCGAATTTAAACTAATATTTGTCTTTATTAGGCCAATGGCAACACAAACCGATTTTTTCTATTACGAAACCATTTTGATAACCTTTCACATCGACAGGGGGAAAATGTGCTGGCATCTTATGAAGATATTGCTTGGAAAACCTCGAAAATGCGTGTAACGTACGCAACCACTTACCTTCTGAAATAAGCTGTAAGGAGTTGTACAATAAAAACAATCCACTACTGAAAATGTTTTTGGATTTCCAACATTGTGTGGAGTATAATATACGAAGCTGTGTGTAGTATATGGACGAAGCAGGAAATTTGATCAGAATGATCTTAGAATTGTAAACGTGAGGGCGAGTATAAAGCGAACTTCAAGTTCACAGAGCTCTGCATCATCTAAAAGCTTGTGAGGGCAAAAATTGCCCGTTCTCTAGGGCTGGGGTAGCTCAACGGTCCAGAAATTGGTCACAAGAAATTTATTGAAAATCATTTATTATCAAATTCAGCACTTTACTATGATATATTACTTAAAAGACCGTCCTCCCAGCCATCGAGACGTCGCGTCGCGTCCGCCGTTCGCGATCGTCTCTCCTCAACTATCCTATCTAACCTAACTTACTAACTTTACTTACTTATTCTACCTAATCTACTCCTAACCTCTTAGTCTCTAACCGTCTCGTACTCTTAGTCCATCTAATCTCTAGCTTATTCTCTAACTTATTCGCTAACTTATTTTCTATCTTACTCTCTAACTTACTTCTCCAGCTTGGCCAAAGCGAGGTATGACTTTGGCTCCTCACAAGCTTTTCAAATCGAGCGTCAATAGTACACGTATTTGTTCTACTTTATTAGTTGTTTTCATTAAAATTTCAATTCATTTTCTTTTGCTGTCATTCGTTTTTGAAATATTTTTGCTTGCATTTAGTCGTTGTTGCTCCTAATAAAGTTGTTTGTGCATAAGTTTAAGTGAGTGGAAAAAATAAAAGAAAATCTGCCCAAAAGTTCGTGGTGTAAGCACACGTGCCTTGCCATTTACAAAGGCTATTAAAAGACATTTGTTGAAACACTCGCTTAAAATTCTGACAATCAATTCCGCTCATCAGTCGAGCTATTATAAGCATTGTCGGTGATGGCTACGGTACTATTATAATGTATTAAGTGCTTGCATGTATTCTGATCAGTTTTTCACGTGAAAAATGCATTTATTGGGGAACATTGATAAAATATATATTTTTTTAAATATTTTCCATCAACTTTTTCCATCTTTCTGGCAATATGGCGATGTCGTGTCGAAAGAACGTTGGTTTGGCAGCGATGCAATTGTCGACCCATTTCTGCACTTCTTCAATATTTCGAAGCCACGTGCCAGCGAAGCCGTCGATCTGAACATGTGATAATCACAAAGCGCTATGTCGGATGATTACACTGGGCGCTGCAGAACTTCCCATTCCAGCTGTAACAGTGTATCATTGACAATTCTTGCAACCTATATCCGAGCCTTGTCGCGTAAGAGGACGACCTTACATTTGTTAATCGCTGTTCGCTGGTCTTTTTTGCAACAACGCATCGTCCAATTGACGTCGGTAGACGTTTCATTCAGTTTTAAAAAAATGACCAAAATGACCAAAATTTTATGGCCATAAATATGAATGGCTATCCCGGATTACACCATGACTTTTTCCACTTGGAATTGTCGCAGTAGATCCACTTTTCTTCGCCAAAGAAAGCTCCTCTTGTTTTGTCTGGCAAGCAATGACATCGCAATGTTGATCGTCCAAGCTGCACTTTCCCATTGACATCAGAATCGACATTTTGAAGCCATTGAAACCAACGCCGATAATTAGGATATGATAAAGCACCATCACCATATGTTTCTAAAAGCGTTTGATGACCTTCGGCGGCAGACTTTTTCAAATCGAACAACAATAGCAATGAATGCCGATGCAATTTTGGCTTTTGCATGATTATCGTCTGTACATACTGAACAACTCTGTAATATTAAAAGCAAAACTGTATTTTATCAAGAGAAAGATCAATCAATCATCGAATTAAGCCGTTGTGTACGTTGAAACTTTGCTTTACTTTATCATTTGCACCAATAGATGTCGCTGATCAAATTGGATGCAATCACCTATTAATTAGAAATAAATTTGAAAACACCGGAAGATATCACTCAAATTACTCTCGAAGCACCAAGATTTAAGCAATTCGGTAAAGTATTTTGATTGCTCGATTTAATGATCTATAACATTTAAGTGTATTTTGAATTATTTCCTTCTCTGCAAGTTATTCAATTAAACAAAAATATTTGCTAAAGTTTCTTTTTAAATATGCAAATAGATGCATGCGGGCACAGTGTACAACCAAAGTCGAATGACACCTATCAATCTTGTACGAATTGGACCATTGAGAACTCTACATATTGTTGTTGTTATTATTATTTTAATTTTATTTTCGATTTAAAAAGAATTACGTAATTACATCATAAACTGTGAGCGACAAATATTGATGAAAATAAACTTGTCATTATTAGCGTATCTTTGGGCTGCATATTTTTGTTCTTTTATTTGCTCTGCTTTAGTCTAAAGTCAATGAATCTTCATATTGCCAATGCGAGAAACTGTTGCTTTTCTTAGTACTACAGTTCGCATTAATATTACGTTCGACAATTCGGTAGAATTTTTCATGAAATAAATTACAACTCAGCAGCAAGTGATATCTACCTTAGCTGACGGACTTTGTCTGAGGATCCCTTATATGGAAGAGAGCCCGAAAAGTACACTAACGGAGTCAAAATTTAGCAAAATCAATCCTCTTTTCAAAGACCTTACCTATTATCGTCATAAAGTATTAGTAGCTAGGCACTGACATCATACAAATGGTTAATGAATCTCGGTGTGGAATCTGGAAAATAGATCTGCGTAGTCTAAATGTAGTACAATTAATTTCTATATTAAATTTCTCTTATGGTTCAATTCCCATCATAGAGTATGGAAAGAGATATCTTTTTGTCTTACGGAGGTCTAGTATTCGTTGGAACCCTTATACGAAATGGGATATAAAAGATGGACACACCTGATACAAATTGGGTATAGTTGACTTTTATATCAAGCTACTGTTACGAATGAAATGTCACTGCGAAAGACTAAAAGTTACAAAATTTGTCCATAAAAAAGCCTAACTTTTTTAGAAACGGTTCTACATGTAACGTTGAACAATCCTAATCAAAACGTTGAACCATCCCAATCAAATTTTTCACATTCATATAATATGGTGACATACGATCGCTCAGCGAGATTTACCTATAAAGACTTTTCCAAGGAAAAGCATTTATTTTGCGTAGTAGTCCTAAAAAAAGTCCATTCGAATCCATTTCCAATAAGGTTTGTACTTAGATCAAACCTGTCAACCTACAACCTGTAGGTTGACCATAAGAATACATGAACAGTTGTCAGAGGGACAGTCAAACCTAAATAATTTTCTGAATCGTTCGCTACAATAAGGGACCTGTCTATCCCAAGTCTTTTCAAGTATTGCCTACATCCGCACAAACTTAACATAACTTTGCCAATAAGTGGTGCAGGGTGTAAAAATAAAATTTGTTTTTATTTAATAATTTCCAAGACGCATAAATTTCTTAATATTGTTATTAGAGCGGGGGGATATTCACACGTTGGTTGGTTGTACAATGTGAGTGGAATACAAATAGTTTTGGTGAAATTATTAATTGAATATATATATATATTCAATATATATATATATAATAATTGAAATTCCAATTTTTCCTTCGTTTTGGTTATTTATTTTTTTATTTTTTAAACCAAACTGTATACAAATTGATTAAAAATTTCATTCGATAGCAAATTATTCAAATGTACGCAAAGAGCAGCACATATGCATTGCAACGGTTATAAAAAGTGCATTACCGCATAATTAATGCTATTAGCAGAGAAAGAGAGAAAGAAATGCACAACAACAAAAAAATAAAAATAAATAAATAAATAAATAAAAAAACGACGATAAAAACTTAATAAATTGCGGTGAAGCATTGCCTCATAAGCGCATATTACAATAATCGTAATAAATAGGTAAGGAAAGGTAAGTAAAGAGAAATGCTTGAGTGCAATATGATGCCAATTAATTATTTATGTTTATTTTAAAGCGCAAAGATAAAGAAGAGAAGACAAAACACAAAAGCCACACAAAACCAGCGCCGTCAGTCCAACTTAAATTATTGCATAAATCATAAAAAATGTAATAAAAGAAAGAAAAGAAAAAAAAAAGAAACTGTTAACACCTTTTTCTCTTTACTTTTTGCTATATGCCTACGGCTTAAAATTCGCAACAGATGAAATGAAATACCCTCGAAGCGCGCTATCATTTAATAATAATAACATGTCGCTACCACAGATCTACATCAGCAATAAGTTGCTGGTCGACGAGTGACCTACTCTGTGATCTCAACCAAGCCACTTGGGTTTCGTAAATACGATACGATATTATCCCTCTCTTGCCTGCAGCATGAACCTTGACTAGTATAATATATATATATATATATAGTATATATACAAATATATATAAATTGAAAAAAAAACGTTAATTAGTAAATTTACTCAACATATTTATTATAACGAAATTTAGAAAAAATTGCAGTTCATTTATGGGAACATAAATGCAACAAAATCAGTTAACTTTCAGAAGGAGAAATATAGTGTGAACACGTAAAGACATCATAGTGGAACATGGCCCACCATTCGATATCCTACATGACTTCTCTAAATGCTGTTATGCATTTAGACTTTTCGAAATAAGATGCTATTAGAAAAATGGTCAAAAAAGTGGTTGTAGGATATTAATAAATCCCTTTTAAGAGTAAAAAATTTCGTATCCTTGGACTTTATCTACAACCATCGCAAAATCGTCTTAGATACGCTATGACTTTGACTAGGGCTATAAGGTCGACAAAAGCGCTATACAGTACTTACTGCGTCCACAATCGCGGTTTGCATATATTTTGGCCATTAAATAATGCCGAGGCCTGTAGTCACACACTATATTACTAGGATAGAGTTCCTTGTTAAGCGCATTGCTCCCATGATTCTTTG